CTTAAAGCACAGACAATGTAATTAGTATTGCTGAAGTTTTGTATGGCTTTAAAGCAAGATAAGCTATCTGTGCAAATGACAAATTTTCCTTTACTTTGCTTAGAAAAATTAGTAGCGTGAAGAATGGCAGTAGCTTAAGCTGTGAAAACAGAATAGAAGGGTAGCAGAAGACCGTACGATATGGGTATATTTTTTTCTTTCACAGCAGCGAAAGAGGTGTTTGAGGATTTAGATCCATCAGTAAAAATGAACTGCCAGCCACTCGATTTGAATTGATTTGCAACTTCAGAGAATTGGGCTATATACTCAGAGCTAGTTGTGCTGGATTTAAGAAGGGTAACAAGATCGCTGACGAATGATCCTTCTTTAGTTGTCCATGGCGGGTGATGAGTACCCCGAGGTATAGGCTTTGTTAGCGGTAACGGGTTGTCTCTTGCATACATTGCACATTTATAAATGGTGGATTGAACCTTAGGCAACCGCTTCCGTGAGGCAGCTCTATTAAATGATTTCAGAAGCAGAGAGTTGGATCCAGTGACGAATTTTGGGTAGAGCTTATTGATGGAATCTACCATTATGTCGTTTAACGAAGGCAGCCCAGCTTCAGTTAACATATACTTTATTGGAGATGTAGGGAAGGCGCGAAGAGAGCGACGAACAGCAGTATATACGGAGCTGCTAGCATCTTAAGATTTTGTTTGCCATGATGCCCATATATTTCTAGTCCATAGCTGATAGTCGACAAGATGAGAGCGGAGGTGACCTTCAACAGCAGAGCCGGGCCAATGAGTGAGCGCTTGCACGAAAGATACTTAATAATACTTAAGCTAGAAAATAGTTTATCTCTTGTATGTTTACAATGATCTTTGAATGAGTACTTAGAGTCTAATACAATGCCGAGAAACTTAAGTCTATTTGTACAAGGTATATTTACATTATTAAAAGACAGTAAAGGAATAGTACAATTTCGTTTCTTACAAATATACACGTGGCACAGACTGGGGGATTATGGCAATGCTTAGCAGTGTGACCAATAGATTGACATACCTGACAACGCATAGGGTTAGGGTAGTATGGACGAACGTCAAGAATCCTCCAGGCGACCTCAATTTTATCCGGGCCAGAAGGCTTACGAGTCGCGCCAGAAGGCTTACGAGTGCTATCAATAATTTTTGAAAATTTATAAGCAGCTGTTACTCCTCTTTCCTTGAGGCCTTCAACTATTTCGTCTTCGGAAACGTGGATTAAGAAGGGCGCATAAATTGTGCCTTTTGCCGAATTGAGGTTATTGTGTAACTTTATAGAAATATTTCCAACACCGGGTAATGTCTTAGCATTCAGGAACTTATCAGCAGCTTTCTTATTCTTAGCAAGCAGCAATAAGCTGCCATCACGAAGCTCACAGATGACGTTGCCCTCACTGCTTAGGGCTTGAATTCCTTTATGGATCGCAAAGCACGAAAAAGTTGTAATCGGTTTTTTATCAATAGATGATTTTATAATTAGGAATTTCGGGTCATCCTTTTTCATGATCGGGAGTCCAGAGAACGGGTCCAACGGCGTTAAATCAGATCTTTTTCGTTTTGATTTCGGGGACGGAGATAACAGGGCATACCTGTTCTCCCCAAGGTAGGTGGCCCCCGGGGCCATTTCGAACACACAAATATGTATTTACCAATTTTTAACCTATTTATCAGCTGTTCCATGAAACTGGCAAATTATTACTGGAATAGCGTTCGCGTACTTTTTTGCAAATTTTTTCAATGAGAGCGAATTCTTAGAAATAAAGTTACTGGAGAGTTGCTGGCAAGTTACTGGATAATTTGTAAACAAACACAACTGATTTTTGGTAAGGTCCATAACGTCCCGTTTCTGCTTTAACCTCGTATTTGTAATAGATGTATTTTAGAGAGAGTAAGAAAAAATGCATCATTTCTTCCCCTAGGATACAATAAACGCACTTTTTTCTTACTATTTCTGGTTCCTCTAACAGTAGTGACCACCCTCATTAAGTCTTTGTTCTATTTTCAAATAGTGTGATGCTTAAACAGCTGTTATAAGTGGTAATATTAGTTTTCCCAAAAATTGTAGATACGTGGTTAAGGCAGAAACGGGACGATAAATCGTTTTGATTATTCCGGCAAAACAAAAATGTTGCGTGCTTTTTACCAGACCCATCTACCGACATGTATTTCGACACCTACCGATATATATTTCGACCTACAGTAAATTATGAAAAACCGAAAAAATAGCAAAAAATTAGCAATTTTCGCAATTTACTCGAAATTTTATACGAGTCAAATGAACGGTTAAAAGCACCCGCCACTCTTTTTGTGTGCCGGTGCTATTATTCCGTGAGTCGCAGGTCCAAGTATCGGCACATTCCGAACGAAAACTTACACTGAAAATGGCACAACGGCGAAACCGGTTTGTCTCCAAACAAAATTTGACAAGGGATGATGGAAAATCGTTCCACATTACATCATACTCCTACCCTGTCGGAAACACCAACAAAATGAGAATAACGGCACATGTAGTAATTAATTGATAGAAAAATATTTTCTATTAAAAAAAATTATTATAATTGTCAATAGCATTTTCAATCTTGATAATTTATCAAGAAAATAGATTTAAACTTCTGTGCTAGATTTGGGAGTTCTTGAAAAATAATCAAAAATTGACAAATTATAAATATATTGAATTTATTAAGTGCACAGAACCGGGCTGTAAGTATATACATATTTGTTTTGAAATATAGCAGTGTTATTCAGTATATATTTTTGTCAGTGAAGAAGTGAAGATTTTGGTAGTGAAGATTTGGTAACTTTTCTTAAGAGATTTTGGAGAAAAAAATGTTGGCGAGTGGCAACCATGCTATCAACTAAGTATTTCTTAGGGATGCGTATCGGCAATGAAAATTTGATATATCGGTATTGCGATATTCCAAATTGACGATATTCGATGCCGATATATCTACTAAAACAATATCTATATATTGAATATCGGAAATATCGATTCACACCGACCTCGTTGCTTTGTTAGTTGGCAGTTTTGCGTATATTTCGTTTTCGTTTCGTTGGTTTTTTTAATTTACAAACGCCAAATACATATACGTAAAACTACCAAAAAACACGAATAAGCATAAATTTATATTACGAAGTTACTGTGGATAAGATACACTTTAATTATTTTGAAAAATAGTAACCAGAGTTCAACAACTTTGATTTTCCCTCCTCACAAGCAAGTCTAGGAGGTATACTCTGTATTGCGATTCGAAACTCAATTGCTGCGATCCTCCTTTTGAGTAGTTTGTTTATAAAAATATATTTATTTGCATTTACTCCTAACATATTCACTGTTATTTATACTCTGGTAACTTACCGTCTTGTTTTCTGTGGAATGATAATTTTTCAAGTGTACAAACAAATTAGTTGTCCCTCCAGAGCACGCAACAATTTTCTGGCAAATTTTGCATTTCGCTTTTCTATCTTTTAATCTTTGTAAATCCCTCCACGCTGCACTTTCTGGAGCCATGATTTCGGTAACACTTTCGATGACGAAACGGGGCTCTGGGGGCTGAAATTCAGAGTATAGGTAGGGTAACATTATTTGGCTTAAATCAATATTTTGCTTTACTAACAGCATTTGCAAATATAAACATTTTAGTAAAATCTGCGGAACTACAGTTTTAACACTTTTTTCGAGAAATAAAAAATGTATCTGCATGTATTTATATACACATTTTCCCCCGACATATTCATGGTTGAAAATGGAACTATGAAAATGCTCGTACTTACCAAATAAATCACTAAGCACGTATATTTTCAAATTATGTTCAAAAATTTGTATGAACATGAGAGATTTCTGAGTATTTTAAATGCAATTTTAACTTTAAAACTATGTTCCCATTGGCGTAATTTAGAGGTCAATCTTAATTTACGCATAAATTAAGTACAAACTAAGTAATTTCGCCTTGTAAAGTCTCAGTAAATGAAGATGAAAGTACGTAGTTTGTCTTTCACTTAGGGCCTGTGCCAATCGGTAACTTTTTTCTCCGTGGTGAGACGGGGTGGAAAAATTTGCTATGGTGTACAAATAAATTGAATTTTGCTGTGCCAAATGCAGAGTTAAATTTTGACAGTTGAAAAACCAAACAAACGCTCGTGCGAAAGCTTTATTTTTGTGTGTTGCTGAAATTCTTAAAATTTATATTTATTTTATAATTTGCAAGTAACGTACGCTTTTTTTATGCTGTTTCAGCTTTCATTTTCATGTTCACTCCTTATTACCGCCAAGCAATATTATGTGTATACATGGTTATAAGCTGTCAAAATTTTACCTAGCCCCATGAGCTAGGTAAAATTTTGACGTTCGTATTCACCACGAGAAGTGTCAAATTTTTACTTTGATCCGTCAAAATTTTCTATTTTCTATCAATTGGCACAGGGCCCAAGAACCAAATCCCGAACAAATCAGTGTCGGCTCTAATTTTATCGATAATAATCGAAAAAAGTATTGTCCCACAACGGATATGTCATTGTGTTTGGACGTTTTTGTTTTTAATAATCGCGCGTGGTAGTTTGTAAAATATTTCCAGAAGCTTTCTCTTTTGATCACTCATCTAAAATCTAAAAAATTACCACAAACAACTCAGATTATAAAAATATACGCAATTACTCACATTCGCGATCTCTTTTCGTTAAATAAACAATAATACAGGGTTGCTACAAAGCTGTCAAGACAAATAAAGAAACGCGTGTATGAACGCACTTAATTTAGTGAGGTATTTTAAACGAAACTAAGTATTTTATGTTGGTAATGTGAACATAGTTTTAAGTCACTTTTGATGGGAATGAAACTTTGGTGATAACACGCACAAGCAAAAGGAATAAGAAAGAAAAAAACAAAAGCTGAAATTTGAAAATAGCATCCGATATTTCAGATATCGAAACAAAATATCGTATCGCAACTTTTGATATCCATATAAAATAACCGATATTCTCAACAACGATATTGATATATTGAATATCGTATCGGTATCGCGCATCCCTAGTATTTTTACATTTGTGTGAATAGTTAAAAATAAACAAATTCGTGGCACTGTGTGCCAAAGTTTTACAGATTAATACTAAAATGGCGAACTTAAAGCAAGATCTAGATGAATATTTGTTGTTACAGAGCGACCAGAAGAAAAACTTCAGTGCCAAAATACCACAAATTAAGGTTCCGGATTTAGGGAAACTGTTTACACGGTCGGAGCCAGCGGAACCCAGTAACAGTTGGTTACAAGAAACACAGGACAGTTGTTGTCCTAAATTGGTAAATAATTGTCGTTGAACTATTATAATATGTGCTTATTTCTAAATATTTTATTCCATTGCAGTCCCGTCTGCAACGTATTGTTGGATTTGTTGCTTGTTTGGGGCTAGGTGCGCTTTGCTTCAGTATCTCTGTTTTCTACATACCGGTGTTAATACTAAAAGCCCGAAAATTTGCGCTACTCTATTCCCTAGGTAGCATGTTTTTTATACTAGGATTTTGTTTTTTGTCAGGCTTTGGTGCCTTCATCAAGACTGCTTTTTCGAAGCCGCGCTTGCTGGTGTCCTGTACATACACCACCTCGTTGATAGCAACGCTCTACTGCGCCTTATTAGTACATAGCACAGCGTTAACGGTGCTCTTCGCTGTGGCGCAAATAATTGCCCTACTATTTATGATCGTCGGCACTGTTCCGGGCGGAGCTTCTGGCATCAAATTTTTCGGAAAAATGTTTAAGAGCACAGTATCTTCAACAAGTACACTGCCGGTTTAAATTGATGAAAATAATATAAGATCGCATTCACCATTCCTTAATTCGGTTAATCTGACTCGCTTTTATTAAATTTCTGTGAATTGTAATTGGTTAAGATTCGTGCACATACCTGGATTTAATTCATTATGGGTATTCGTGTAAACGCGTAAATGCCTCGTATGCACGGAAACCTCGTAAATAAACCATACAAAATAAGTAAGTTTACGAGGCGTTTACGAAATGCTCTATTTTTTATTACTGAAAGTGACTTGTGATACCGCATTAAAAGGAGTTTGTAACTGTTAGAATAGTTAATATTTATAACCTTGTTTTTCAGTTTAATATTCCGATAATACATATACATAAGTCTAATCTTCGATTTCACCCAGATACAAAGTTTTATCACTTGAAGCAGATAATATCACTGGCTCTTTTGGATGAAAATCTACATCATTAACACTACCATTGTGACCAGGCAATTTATATAATATACGCCTGCTTGTTGTGTCCCAAATGTAAACATGGCGATCAGCAGAACCAGCAGATATCTAGAAAATATATTCTCTTTGCATTTGTTTTATAATTTATCTAATTTAACTTACTTTACTGCCATCTGGAGACCAAGAGCAGCGTAAAAGATTTTTTTCGAAGTTGTGTTGATGGCCTTGGAAGATTTTTACACAACGCTCGCCTGGCGCATATGGACGAATATCCCATATTCGTAAAGTGTTATCCATGGAATTGGATAGCAAATATGAACCATCTGGTGACAAAGACACGCCTGTAATAGTGTCCGAGTGTCCTCTTAATCTATGCATCACCTGTTGTTGCTTGCGTACGTCCCAAATTTTTATTTCATTGTCAATACCACCGGAAATCACTTGTTCGCCAGTATCATTAAAGCATACTGTTGTCACCTGATAAGGCGATTCCAGAGTATGCACCGCACTTTTCTTGCGCGCATCCCATATTTTTATCAATCGGTCATCTGAGCCCGAACATAACATTTGTACACCTCGCCGAGTGCAATGAACGGTATTCACAAAATTTGTGTGACCTTTCATCCGACGCACTCGCTGTCCAGTCACAATGTCCCATACTGCAACAGTCTTATCGGTAGCACATGTGTACACATTTGAGCCATCTGTCGAAAAGTGTGCCTCCAACACAGCACCACTGTGACCTGACATAACCATTAAATTTTCGCACTCTCCATACACATTCCAGATATCTGAAATTTATTAAAAAGAAAATATTTGTAATATTTCTCTATCGTTAGAATTAAAGCACCTTACAGATTTGACGATCAAAACCTGAAGAAAGCAGCAAATCGCCATCCGGATGAAATTCAGTTGTGAATATTTCTCCCTCATGCCCTTCTAGCAACATGATGGGCGCCATTAAGTTGGATGTGCGTCTAATACCCTAAATAAAGCAATTAATAGCGTTTATCCAATTTCCAAAATATATTTGCTTACCGACTCCATTAACGCTTTATCCCGGTTGGTAAAAGCGATTAAATCGGTTTTACTACGCTTCGTGTTTTGGGCCACAGGCACCAAACTGCTTCCCGGTCTTTTTGTTCCCATTTTGAAATAAGGAATTCTCTACAATAGCTTCTAAAAATTTATAGAAATAAATATGTTGCAGCTTTGCGAGTTCAATTAAAACTTTAAGTACAGGGTGCAATTGATTGTGATTTATCTTTACAAGGTGTACCTTTTTGTGTCAATATCAGGGTTGCCAATGCCGAAAAAAATATCATCCACTTGAAAAAAATTTACCAAATCTGGAAAATATCTACCAACAACTTTTTTTTAGGAATCTTAATAAAAACTAGTTGTGTTTCATTTTTTTAGTTATTTCAGGTGTACTTCGACATTTGTGTATTTTAGCAAAACTATAACGAATTTTCTCATAAAACTTTACGAGGATGCTAAGAAACAGATATGTTTACATGAAATCTCACTATTTCCACATTTGTAATACTAGTATTTAAGTAACTTGTTGTTTAAATTTTTTGCACTTCCATTAGCAAATATTCATATTGTTACGATTATCCTTGAACCCTCGTCCGGATTTCCCAAATCTCTCGGTTCGTATCGCTGGATTGTTAAATAAATGCAATCAATGACCAAATTGTAGTACAATTAACTTTATTGTACAACAAACAATTTACAATACTTGCTAATACAGTAAAAACACTTTACAATACTTGTTAAAGCAATAACAACGCTTTACTACTTGTTAATAGGCTGTTTTTGCTTACGCGTAAAAGCACATTTAGCGCATTTAGCTCTAAATGCTACTCTAAATGTACATTTATCCATACAAAATTCGTCACCTAAATGCAACTAAATGCAACTCCATTTTTGCATTAAGGATCTAAATGCTAAAAGCAACCCTGTGATCTTCCAAAATTTCCACGATTCGAACATGGTTTAAAGAGAAAAAGTGGCAACATTGCTTTTTCGAGTATACAGTTGCTATCTGCGTTTCAGTGATCGCCGATCGAGATTTCTTTTATTTTGCATTACATATTTGGATAAAGAAAAGTTAAGCAAATTCAACATCGATTTGATGCTGATAGAAATCTGGATCAATTTGTGATCAACTCTGTTTGGTTTGTTTCCTAATTAAGTGAGGAAATTTTAATTGACAGCGCCGACAAATGAATATATACACAAACAAATGTTCGGTTATGGTTAAAACAATTCAAGTTTTTGTAGTGAATTTTTGGTTTGAAATTTATTTTTTCCTTTTCAGTAGGGTTTTTGCACATTATCTTCTGCGTGAGAATTGATCGTAATATATACGCATCTAAATAAGAGACTGGAACACGGCTGTTTCTCAAAAGCATACGATTTCGAACTCGCGTAAATGTACATTTGCTAAATGCTATAGCATGAACGCTCTTCGAAAACATATGTTCGAAAGTGCTAAATGTTGCATTTTAAATGCAGCAAAAACGCTGCATAACACAATTAAACTTATAGCTTGCTTATTCACAACTCGATTCTCCGCTCAGTTTACTTGTAGCTTGCTGACTTGTAACTAACTCACCTCGCGGTGGCGGCGCCCTTATATACCTGCGCTGGCACTTATGGCAACTCTAGAACATTCTGAAGTTTATCGCTCAT